AGGGATCCAACACAGAGTTTTGTGCATGCTAGGCAAGCTATATCCACACCCCATAGCTTTCGGTCTTAAATCCAGTATTTGAATTCAGGTTTCTTTGCTCTTTCCACCATACACAGCTGCTAAACAAGTAAATGGTGGAAACCACCATTTTTTTATTCCTTACCCTCCTCCCCAATATTTCTCTTCTTTAAAACCTGCCCTCAAGAGCCGTTGTTGAAGAGGTAGCCATGCTTACGCTCTTGGTGGCTTCTCCTGAACATAGCTGATTGGACCATAGTGGACATGTGATCTATAGTCTGCCAATTCATTGGCTGACTGGGAACCAATCAGATCCAAACTTCATTTTTTTTTTCCTTTTTAAGAAATGGAGTCTCAAAGCCGAATGGAGGCGCACTCCTGTAATCCCAGGGGCTCCAGAGGCTGAGGCAGGAGGATTGCGGGTTCAAAGCTAGCCTCAGCAAAGGCAAGGCGCTAAGCAACTCAGTGAGACCCTGTCTCTAAATAAAACACAAAATAGGGCTGGGGATGTGGCTCAGTGGTTGAGTTCAATCCCCGGTTAAAAAAGAAAAGAAATGGAGTCAAACCATGTTGCCCAAGCTGATGTTGAACTCATGGGCTCCAGCAATCCACTTGCCTCTGCCTCCCAAGTAGCTGAGACTATGGGTGTAGTCACTGCCCAGCTCCAGCATAAAATTTTGAGCTCAGAGAAGCAGAAGCTATTGTCAGGTAGCTATCATAGAGCTTCTGATGCTAACAAGCTAACACCATGTAAACAAGCTGCTATCTGAAGAAAAGAAGGCTGGTCTACACTTAGAAGAGCACAGCTATGATTTCAATCCATTTGGAACCCAAGACAGAGCCAAGAGTAGCTTCTTTTGGCTTGCATAGACTTTCTGGTTCCTAATTTCAGCCTCCTGAGGCTGGGATTTACTTCTCATCCTTGGGTTCAGTGAGATTTTCCTGCAACCTTTCAATAATCTGTTGAGCAAGACAGCCCATTTCTATCCCTTGCTCACAACTCAGTTGGGACCAAAGCGCTGACTTTGGAGGAACCAAAGATTTTCAAGGTTGTTTTCTTACTGGTAAAAATAAGTGGAGGGACCAGAGGAGCTCAAAATGTCTTGCTTCCAAGGAAGTACAAGAACCCCCAGAATATGGTGCCAGTGGCCAGGAAATAAACAGACTCAGAGGAAGAAAGCTGAGGCAGGAAAAATTCTGTTGACTCATCTCCCCACTTCCTGCGCTGGCCTGTATTCCCGAGAAGGAAAAAACAATTCTGGAAAGTTGGAAGCAGTTTTGCTCAACACAGAACTCAGAGAAATCAGGACCCTGGCACCTTCATACTGCCAGATGTTAGGGCTGCTGCCTGCTAGAGGGTGAAGCCAATGTGGTCTTTGGGGCACAAGAATGTTCTACAAAGGAGTCATCTCAGGCACTGCGGCTCACGTCTAGGGTAGAAGGGTTTCCACAAAGCAACAACGGCTGCCATATGCCCTGCTTGGCCTGCAGGGTGGTAAAGCTACCAAAGTTGTTGAATCTTTCTGCTCTATGTCACCCTGTTGATGGACGGAGACAAAATTGTCCTTTCTTGGCAGGGACCCCCCCAGGCTCTGTTTGATCAAAAATGCTTTCCATAAGCTACTCAGGTTCCATTCTTGGGAACCTGTAACTTCTGATTATCTATGTCCAAGGAATGGGTTTATCTTTAGTGCTGGGAAAACATCCTCCTTCTGAGATCTTCTCAGCTGTCACCTGCCTCCAAGTTCAAAGAATCAACTAGCAATAAGCAATATGAATTTCTACTGTCTATGAGCACCATGCTGGCAGAGGGTCTCAGAGACATCCTCTGGCAAGGATGGTCCTGGGAGTTCTGCATTGGCTCTTTTAGCTTATGTCTCTCCCCGGCCCACAGCCCACTTGCCATCTGGGCTCAGCCCATTCTTAGCCTCTCCCAGGAGATCTGTAGAAGGGAGAGATCTCAACTCTTGGACTCTTTGTTACTGCAGCCCCCAAACAGTTAAAAGTGCCTCCTGTGGCCACATAGACTTGTTCCATGATTCTGGTAGAATGATTCCGTGAAGGGCAGGGCCTGGCACCTATTGTTCATTGTTTGTGGACTTGGAATCACCTTCCAGGCACATGGGCTGAGACAGATGAGAGCACAGGGCGCTGGCACGCCCACACCTGCACAGCACTTCCTGGCTAAGGTCCCAGCCAGAGGTTACCTCTATGGACCCTCTATTTTACTGCCAGCTAGGTGAGAAGGCACCCAGGCAGAAACCTGGCACCCAGCGGGAGGTCCAGGGAGGCAGGGATGGTGCTGACTGGGCTGCTGCCCCAACATGGCTGGTGGAAATGCCTCAACTCGCCCACCGTGTCCCCAGGTCAAAGGCATCACAACTGGGTCTTTGTTCCAGAGTTCAAAAGCCTCACTCACCACTCCTTCCAAAGCCAGCTCCCAGGACGTACAACAGGCTTCCCCCCACCCCCACCCCAGGCCTCCAGCTTCCCTACCAGAGGAACCACCTCCCAAGATCTGCAGTTTGGCCTTCTTCCTTTCTCCCTTCCACCCACTTAGTTCCTCTGGTTGTAAACTCCAGGCCTCCTGGCTTCTGATGGTGACAGAGAGGGTGGGTTTGTATGGGTGGCCACAGCACTCCAGTTCTCTGTGCAAACATCTGCAGCTGAGCAGCTGTCTCTACCCAGGGGAAAGACACTAAACTTCCAGAGAAGCAGGAAAGCTATGCACAGCAAGGCTTTCTCCACCTGACATCGGGGCCCTACTGAGTCCCCCAGTTCACCCCAGGAGAGAGCTCAAGGAAGTCATCTACTCCAGCCCCTGTTCTCAAGAAGCTGCAAGGCTACCTCCATTTTACAGAAGGGATAACTGAGGCCCAGAGAATCAGAAGGACCTGAAGCCAAGCAGACAGCAGGTGATAGGTAGAATCCTGTTTCTAGGGATAGCGGCTCCCTCCCAGGGAGAGAGCCAGATCAGGCTCTTCCAGCCACTCAGGGTGAGGGGGAGATAGGGAGTCATGGGGAACAGATATCTCTGCACCATTTCCAAGTCTAACACAGACATTCATCTTTCCTCCAGGTAGGATTCCCAAGTGTTCCTAGGCTCCGGGAGGTGGGATAGGAAGGGAGAAGACACAAACACCCCTACGCATCTTAAAGTAGAACAGACTTCCTTTCATACGGAGCTTCCTCTTCCGCTATCCTGGCCAGTGGCTGACCCCAAAGACCCAGGAGCTCCTCAACTCCTGCTGCTTCAGGGTTACATGGCTGTGGGTGAGATGCGCAGGTGAGGAGAGAACCTCTAGGAAGAACTGACCTTGTACAGAGAAATGGGCCCGTCTTTTTGAGGTGTAAACCCCCAAACAAGCAAATACCCCTTCTCCTGGCATCTCCCATTCCAGAGACCCCACGGCAATGCCAACTTCCCTAGGGAGCAGGATGGTGGGGTTGGCGATGGGACAGAGGCTGAGGGCAAAGCTGTTGAGGAAGGGACCACTGTGGTGGTTCCTGGAAGTGAAGGGTCAAACCTTGCATTAGAAACGTGGTTCTGCCAGGTGTGCAGTGTCACTGCCAACCACCCTGGCCATGGCTCCAGGCATGAGGACAGAGCCCGACCTCTCTGAGAGGGGAACAGTCTGTGAAGGGCCCAAGCCTTGGAGGTCTGTTCTCAGGGAGCACATTCTGAGGCAGGAGTTAAAAGTGCCTCCTGCACAGGAGCCTGGGCCTGCCTCCCCCAGGAGGCCTGCTGGATTTCCCCAGCCTCTCTGCAGCTACCTGCCACCCAGAGGCACAAGAATCAGGGGCGCAGGATCATTCTAGTTTTACTTTGGATCTCAGAAGACTCCCCCCCAACACCTCTGTACCTCAGTCACTCTGTCTACAGAATGGACTAGTAGTCCTTTGGCTTCCTTGGGTTGGGATGTGGCTCAGTGATAGATGACTTGCCTGGCAGGCATGAGGCCCTGGGTTCAATCCCAGCACCAAAAGGAAGGAAAAAAAAAAAAAGTTGGTTTGTGTTCCTTTTGGGACCCGGAAAGAGACAGGGAAGAGAGAACAGGCCCCTCCCCTCTGGGAGTGTCCATGAAATACAGTCCAGGGAAGCTCCTGCACACAGGGGCCTGCCCGGTGCAAAATGAAACTGAAACAAGATGCCCAGCAAGCAGTCCAACGCCCCCCAGCAGGCTGTGGGGCTCTGCCAGTAGAAGCGTTGGGTCTAAGGCCCATCCTGGTCCCTGCAGGGGCCCACAGGCCCACAACTCGAAACTGACACACTCAGGATCTCCTTTTTCCACCTGCTACCAAAGACACCAAGGGACTTTGGTCTACTCTACAAGAACCTTGGAACCAGCAGTCCCCAGATTGCCACAGATACGGCCCCTACGTCAGCTTCCAAAGACAGAGTGCTGTAGGACCTGGGTGCCTCCCTCAAGGCTCTCTTCCCAGGTCCCCAGCCTCTAGCTCGACAGCGGGCAGTCAGTTCACCAACCAGACTCCAGCCAACTCCCACAGGCCCGGTCCTTCCTTAGGGACTCTGGACCCACAGTGATGTCACGGCCTGCTTTCCCAACCAGCTGGCTGAGTTCTCCGGATCCTTCCAGGACCCCGGCTTAGAATATGGCCCCAACAGGGAAAGCCACGGCTGGACACTGCTGAGCCTGAAGCCACCTTCCCCAGGGGCCTCAGATGGCATGGGGTCCGTGGGCAGGGGCTGAACAGTTATGCCCACGGCTGCCACCCTGGCCTTGCATTCACACAAGCCGGTTAATTACCCCCGAGCCAGGGAGACATTCTTCCACCACCAGGCAAGTTGCTGGCCTGCAGCCCAAACCAACAGGGGGAACTTCAGACTCCTTGGCCTCTCCCTGCCAGATGGAAATAACGTATAGCTGCAGAGGTGGGGGAGGAGGAGGGGAACAAAACCCAGCCAGGCCCGGGAGCCAGGCCGGGGCCCTGAGTGGACAGCCGGATGGCCGGGCACTCACCGCTCTCGTTCTTCTCGATGACATCCACCACCTCCCCGGCCTGGAGGCTCAGCTCTGAGTTCTCTTGCTTCTTATAGTTGGACACCACCACGTACTGTTCCAGGATCATGGGCTCGGCGTTGGTGTCGGCACCTGGCGAGGGCAGAAAGCACGCGGTGAGCCAGCGGCCGGCCATGGCCCCGCGGCCGGGGCGCCCCCTGTCCATCAGCCTCGGGGGAGGCTGCTCGGTCGCCAGTGCTGCTCCGAGGGGCTGCCTGCAGCCAGGGCTCGCAGCTCTCCGGGCCCCAAGGACAGGCCATATAGCAAGGCTCCACACCGGCCCGCTACACTGCGGGGACCGGGGGACATGGGGAGCCAGGGGACAGGGGGAGGAAGAGGGGGAGGACAGAGACAGAGGCGGACAGAGACGGAGGCCAAGGATATTGAGGAAAAGGGCTTCTGCTGAGAAGAGTTAAGTCACAGCCCAGCATTGGGGAGCTGAGGGAGCGGCCTGGGGCCCAAGTGGTCTGTCCAGACGCTGGGGCCAGCAGGAGTGTGTGGAGGGCCCCAGGGGGCGGGTGGGCGGCCCATGAGGGCTGAGGCCAGAGCACAGGAGGGAGAAAGAGGAGAGGGAGGAGGAGGAGGAGGCCCTGCCTCTGCCCCAAGCCCTGTAAACCCAGAGAGAAAAGGCAGCCCTGCTCCCCTCGGGCGGGAGAGGGAGAGAGCGGGAGAGACTTCTCCACAGCCCAGGCCCAGCGAGGAGTCCAGAGGGTTTGAGGCCGCCAATCAGTGGGGTTTACTTGCAACCCTTAAATAGAAACACATGAGACCCATCGAATGAGGAGCTGGGGGTGGAGGCAGGGGAGGAGGAGGGCTCAGACTGTTTACTTGAAACCCAAGAAGAAAGTCCCAGCGCCAGCGCTGGAGAGCCCAGCCCACCCCCCGCCAACTTTTCCTCAAGTTCGGCTCCATTCCTGCCCCTCTGGCTCGCCAAGGGACGGGCACAGACGACCAGCCCCAGGCAGCTTGCCCTGCCCGCGTCCAGAAGGACCTCAGTGGACCTGGCTGCCGTCCTCTCCCCACACAGGGGTGGACTCAGTCTCCCTGTGCCCTGAAGTGCGGGGCTTGAGGGTGCTCATCCTCTACCACCCTCCTGCCACCCTCACCAGCAGTTTCAGGAGCCTGAGGGGACATAGCACAGGGAGGGCAGGTGGGGCCCAGGCTCCCAAGAGCAAATTCTCTGTCCTCCTTGGCCACTACACCAGTGGGACATTCATCAAGCACCCCACTGGAAGGTGGACAGCCTGGGTACCCATCTCAGCTCCCTGGCCGTGCAGATGTGACATCCTGTGCAAACCTCTTTGCACTTCAACTATTACACTCTCCAACATCCAGGATGTCACGTGCCCTGATAGGAGTGAAAAAAACCCACAAGCCAAAGACTGGCTAGAGCCCTCCTTCGGGAAAACCTTCCCAGCCCACTCCCAGGCCAAATAAAATTCCTAAGTACACTTCTTAAACTGTCCGCCTGCCAGTCAGTTGGGGTAGTGCCCTGTAACCCCAGAACGTGGGAGGCTGAGGCAGGGGGATCACTAGAGCCCAGGGGTTTGAGGCCAGCCTGGGAAACGTAGTGAGACCCTGTCTCAAAAACAAAACAGCATGCCTGCCAATCTCCCTGGAGGCCGGGGTTCCACAGTACTGGCCTGGCTGCAGAAATAGCTGAGGATCTCCTCTCAGCCCCTTGGTGCCTCAACCCACGGCCACAGGCCCTACACTCCTGAGCCTGACTTATGTGCCAGCACCTCACAACAGCCCTCTTTTCCCATTTTACAAACTAATCAGAGGCTCAGAGAGAGCAAGAGACTCACCCCAGTTCCCACCGCTGGTATGGAGAGAACCAAATTCCCCAGTGTTTTTAGGTTCAAGTCCATCTCTCTTTCCATTACAGAACCACCTGATGTCTGTTTCCATACATGTCATTCTTTGACTACAGTGATCCCCAACTTGGTGGCACTGAATCACCTGAGGAGCTGTTTAAAAACACCAGCTTCAAAGGTCCAGGTTCAGGTGGTCAGAACCCAGGAACAAGTATTTTGTAGACACCCCATAATGCCCCATGTTCTGGGGTGCAGCCAGGAATGAGAAGCACTGCTTAGATTTTTGTTGGGCAGCCTAGGCAGGGGGCACCGGCCACAGAACTCTGGGAAACCCCAAGGCTGGCCCTCCTGGTGGGGGATAGAAACCCACTGCCCTGGCGGCTTTCTAACATATAGTGTGGGCCCTGCGGCCCCAGCAGGACTCTTTGGAGACCCAGAAGGGACCCCGCCCCTGCTGAGGTGTGCCACATGAAGTGTGTACATGCAGCCCCAGGCAGCCCCTCCACAGGCGGATTGTATTTCAGGCAGAAATGCAACCAACAGCTGGGCAGCAGGCCGGCTCCGCCCCTGCACTCAGATGCTGCCAGCTTCTGTGCCTGCCCTGCCAGCAGGACAGCAGCAGCACTAGGCGAACAGATGTCCCCCACTGTGTCCCCAAGGGACATCAGCTTCCAAGTCCTGGGAGCGCCCCAATTCTACCAGTAACAGCAGACCTCAGTTGAGGCTTCCTCAGGGTCAGTCCTCCGTAAAGTGCCCCACTGCAGTCCTATATGCTGTCTCATTTAATCCCCGTGACAGCCTTATGCAGTAGGCATTACTGTAGCCCCATTTTACATATGGGCAAACTGAGTCTCAGGAAGGGAAGTGATTTTCCTAAAGTCCCACAGCTGCACCCAAGTCCAGCTGACCTTCACATTTCGGCACCTTACATGGCCAATGGGGTGCCAGGTACCTGGTCTCTAGGGAAGAGTCCCGTCTCACTCTATCCCCAGACACCCTGGCATACAGGTGGTGTCTAAGAAAGACTGTAGTGTGGGATTCTTGCTGCCTCTGTTGGGCAGACCCAAGGACCCATTAGGTGGTGGACACTCTGTGTGAAGTGAATGATCTGGCAAGACACAGGACAGAGGGATCTGGTGTTGTTGAGCCGATCCCGGCCTTACATGCTGAACAGGGGAAAACTAGACAATGGAACTGGAAGAGAGAAGGGGGAGCTGGGGAAACTGAGGCAAAGAGGAGCTCCCGATTTGTGGCCAGAGAATGCTGGAGCAAAGAGGAGGTGCTGGCAAGTGGATCCCATCAGCTCATTTTGATCCACGCCAAGAAAAATTTGAGGCAAGATTTCCAAGGTGGAGGAAAATCTACTCCCTGGCCCCTCCCCCCAGCCTCTGGAAAATTGGTCTGGAGTCTTCTGAAGGCCCACACTCTGGGACACAGGTAGGGAGGTGAAGAGAATGCCGGCCAGCGCTACAGAACTCAGACGGGCTGTAGCTTTTCCTGGAGGCCACTCCTTAGGTTGTGGGACAGACACACAGAAAGACAACTTATCCTTCCTGCTGCCCACCCCTCCCCCAACACAGGCACCCTCTCTGGCATCTGCCTCTTAGGGCGTCACTATGCAGCACTGCCCTGGGGCCAGGGTGGTGGGTGTGCTGGGAGGTGCCAGGACCAGGTATCCAGATGAGAAACTGCTGCTCGGTGGGCCAGGCAGCTGGTGGGCAGTGATGTCATCCCAGAGGCGGCTCTGGATCCCCTCCCAGCCAAAGCTTGGAAAATTGGGGGCTGGAGGAGTCTGCCCAAGAGAAGGGAAGGGAGGGGCAGAGGAGGGAGCCTCTGGTGTTCAGATGAAAAGGGTTTGGCAGAAGCAAGGAGGAGGGCTGGACCCCTTGTAGAGAGCAGAGCCTTCCCCAGGTTGGAAGGGGACTTCGCAGAGCCTCATTCAGAGGCAGACCTTGTGCTGGATCTGCTGGGGCTCTGGGGGTCCCTGGATCCCTGTCCTTCCCTTGCCTCACACCTGTGTTTCTCCAACACCCACCTGGATGGAACCCTGGCTCCTGGTCAATCCTGACTGCCAACTTAAAACTTCTAAACTAGGCCTCTGCCAAGTCAGTCCCGTGCTCCGGCATCTTCAGTGGCTCCCTGTTACCTACAGAATAAAGGCTGGATTCAAGCCCGATCTTTCTTGCAATCTAAGCTCAAGTTCCTTGACGCCCTGCATGCTTTCATGAAATATTCATGATTCAAAACACATGCATTGAGCACCTACTGCGTGCCAATGACAAAGTTTTATGCAAGATCTGACTTTCTTAGCCTTTGCTGCAGCCCCTGCCCTTGCCTGGAATGCCTTCCCTTCTCTTTGCCAAACCCAATTCTCCCCTAACATTTCTGCCCCTGCAGAAGGCTCCCCCATCACCCTAGCCATGGTGCCCCCTCCTGTTCTCTCCTGGATTTTTGTGTTGGGCATGGATGCCCAACCAGACTGTGTGCTTCATTCCACAGTCTCCATGATGAGTGGTGACACCCCAGGACAGGTGCCATAGGATGGGACAAAATCATTATGAGATTCATCCATGCAAAAGCTTAGGAGCTGAGGGTCAGGTCCAGTCCTGCTTTACCTTTACTTGCTCTATCCTGGGGAGGACACTTAACCTCTCTGAGATGCAGCTTCCTCATCTGCACACAGGGAAAAAAAAGCAGAACCTCGTGGCTGCTCTGAGCACGGAGTGAAGTTACCGGGGTTAAAGTCCGATGTAAACTGTAGGGCTGTGTCTCTGCAACATGCCTCTCCCATACCCACCTCCAGGCAGGCAGCCAGCACTTGCCAGCGGGAAACAGCCAGACCAGAGCTCCCTGGGCCCACTCCGGGGTGGATGCCAGACTAAGCAGCCCCGAGACCCTTATCTATTAGCATCTTTAGCACCAACCAGTCACCTCTGAGTTTCCTGTCTCAAGACTTCTCCAACAACTTCTCAAGACTTTTGAGACACCAAAGCCCAGAGAAACCTGGTGACTTGCCTGAGACCCCAACACTGGACTCCCCTCAGCCAAACTGCCTCTCCTGGGTCTCTGGCTCCAAGCAGCGGGGCTCCTCCTGAGAAGACAGGTCATGTGGTGGCCTCTGCCCCAGGATCCCTATCACTCTCCCAATCCTGGGCATGCCACCAAGGCCCCTCCAGCCCCTCACAAGCCTCTCCCAGGCTGCATTGGGGCTGCTGGTCTCTCAGCTATACGTTTGGTGAATAAAATGTATCGCTGTGGGCCAAGTGGCTCACTGGCTCATGCAGAGGGGAAAAAGGGACAGGCGCCCAGTGATTAGCTCAGGCCCCAGCCCCTCGTCACAGGGAACACCAGAAGGATGATTGCAAGGGAAGCAGCCCCCCCCCACACACACACCACCACTGCCTCCTCTTCTCCTGGCCCCTCTCCCAGGACTTCGGCCTCCCATTCCCTGCCAACAGCTGTGGTAGGGAGGGCTGGGGCCTGGGCTTTAAGCCCTGGAGCCAGCCCCGCCCCCTCTGACCCTCGACCCTTCTGCTTTCCCTCCAAGCCCCCAGCCTGCATCTCTGCTCTTAGAAATGAAGGGGCCCCATGGAAGACTATTCTGGAAATCCCATCCTTCCCTTGATCATCTCTGTCCAGGCACTGAAAATCCTGATGTTCGGGTTTTTTTTGTTTGTTTGTTTGTTTTTTCTTTTTTTTTCTTGACATTGTCTAGCAAGACCAAAGGCTAAAGTCAAGTCCCTGACCCATGGCCCAGTTCTACCCAGACACAGGCCAAGGCCCCTGTCCCTGAGGGCCATGTGGGCCAGCGGGCCAAAGCCTTGAAAACCCCCAGGCTAGCGGCAGCTTCAATATCTGTATTGCTGGGTCCTGGGAGCTGTGACCCACCCTCGGTCACAGTCACAAGACAGCCCCACCCCCTACCCCAAATCACCAGTTCCCCACTGAGATCTCTGGAAACCGGCTTGGCACAAGGACCTCAGCTCCCTGCCTTGGTTTAACCACCTGAAGTGAGACCAGTCACCTTTGCCTGGCCTGCCCCACATTCACAGGGTCAGCCAATGAGATAATGCCAAAGAGAACGGTAGCCCACCACCGCCCGAGCGCTTTCTGTGTGTCAGGATCCCCAAGGTAGCATTACACCCCCCCAGAGGGGTTGCGCAAGCCGCTCCAGGCGGCTCAGCCAGGACGTGGCAGAGCCGGGCTTCAAACCCACACACCCTGTGGCCAGAGCACATCTGCTCATAGCTGTGCTGCGTGGTCAGCACCCCACAAAGGGCTTCAAGGCTGGATCTGAGAATGAAAAAGGGGTAGCCTGGCAGGCAGAGGGCACGGTGAGTGCCAGATGCCCTGCATGCCGACAAAGGGCTGCCGCAAGTCACAGGGAAACAAGCCGAAAGGAGCCCGCGGGCACCGGCTCCGGAGCATGCGCGCTGGGACCCACATGTTCACATGCACGCAGGCACATGCACACCGGGCAGTACCTGTCACGTCCTTCTTGGGAGACTCAGCCCAGCTGGACAGCCACACTTCAGAGTCCCCCGAGAGAGCAAGCAGCAGGAGAGGAGAACCAGAGGAGAGAGAACCGTTAGGCAGGCAGGAGGTCCACCCGAGTGCTGCAGGCGCCGCTGGATCAGCAGCCGTGGGCGGAAGGCGGGGGAGGGGAGGGGAGTGATTTCCTGGCCCTGGGATGGCTGCTGGGCGTGGGCCTGTGTGATTACAGAGGCTGGGACCGGGATAATGAGGTGTCTGTCGAAAGGCAGGAATCCTCTGGAGCGCAGAGAATCCTACGCAAAGCCTCCCTGCAGTGGGACCCTCTGGTTCCAGGGCCCTGCAGCAGGCAGCCCTCTCTTCTCTGTGGCCATGTGGGTGGCTGGCCCCACAGAGCTCCGGAGATTCTGGTGAGCTAACAGGCTGAGCAGCCTGGACCCAGAAGCTCAAATGTAAGGGCTGGGGCACTCAAGGCCAGGCTCCAGGTTTTGGGGTGCCAATCTACTAAGTACCCTTGCTCAGCTCTTGCCACAGCCCCACCCAGTGAGAGTGGAAGGGAGTCTCCCTGACAGAGCCTCACTCCTGGCTCTAGGCAAGAGGGACCTCTAGTGACCAGGACATGACCGTTGTGCTCCATGCTCAGACAATGGTGTTCCATCTGGGCCTCAGTTTCTCACCTGTAAAATGGGGTTAAGTTATCCTGTGGAGGAGGAGCAAAAAAATCAAAGCACCAAAGAAGAACATCTGATTATGAGATGTGGTGCCACTAACATCCTGAGGCAGAAAGCTCTTGGCCTAATCACGGGTGTGAACATTTTTAGAACATCAGAGGCTACCACATGCAGAGCACTGGTGCTGGCTGCCAGTACAGACTCATTTACTTCCCACACAACCCCATGAGGTGGGCACGCATCTGTGGACCCATCTTGCAGACAGGAGCCATTCAGACAGGGGGAGTAACTGGCCCAAGTTCCCAGGAGCCAGAAATGGAACCAGGCCTGGCGGCACCCCAAGACGAATACTTTCTCTGCTGGGCTGTTCATCACCTCCAAGGAGCAGAGAGCTGGCTGCTGTGGGGATAATTATAGGAAAACATGGAGATGTAAGTCTGAGAGCAAACCCTTACACTGTCCACCAAGCTGTCCAGGAAAGCTGCCTGATCCCTTCACAGATAGTAACAATAAACAGCAGCATACATTTATATAGCACTTACTGTCTGCCAAGCTTTGTACCAATACTTTCCATAGAGTAACATATTTATTTTTCACAACAGTTTACAGTGGTAGATACATTATTCCCTCCCTTTTGCAGATGAAGAAACCAAACCAGAGAGGTTAAGTTACTTGCCCAAAGCTGCAAGCTAGTAGTGTCTGTCTCTTTAGGGACACAGACCTCAGGTGATCAGAGCTTGATGCCACTTATCATTTAAAGCACCTCACCCTCTCCCTTGCTGAGCAAGCCACCTTCCAATTACAGGCTGACTTTCCACAGAGAAAGGGTATCGAAGATAGCCCTTCCAGATTGCATTGGAAGCCCACAGACTTCCAATGGGGGCTCTGTGGAGAGGTTCAGTGAGGCCTCTGGAGTCTGACTGCCTGGGCTCAAATCCAGGCTCTGTCCCTTTGAGGAAGTTATTTAACCTCTCTGATCCTGTTCCTGATCTTGTTAAACTCAGGATGAAGTGACGTACTTACCTCCGGTTGCTGTGAGGATTAATTAAATGAGGTAATACATTACAGTGCCCTGCATGGTGCAGCTCAGTAGGGTGAGCTGCCATTGGCCATATCTACCTCGAGTGTGTTTGCACACACCGGATTCCCTGGGTTCAGTTCCCTCTGAGTGCCGCAGGAAAATCATGCTCCCAGGGTTGCAAGGATGGAAACTTGATGGCATTCGCTACTGTACGTACCAAGAACACACTGGCACCTGCGCTGAAATATTTCCCCGCAGTCACTCTCAGACACCAGGTCAGCCGAATTGGGGTCAAGGGATGAATAGGGTTCGATCTGCAGCCAGAGCCTGTTCCTAGGCCTAGTAGTCAGCAGGCACTTTGGCAGCAGGACTTCCAGCCCTGGCGTGGCCTGGACATGGACAATGCGCCGAAACCCTCCAGGGCTACGCTATGTGGCCGAGCAGGCCTGAGCTCCCGTTGGGTGCCCACATCTTGCTAAGCCTCCAACTTCCGACTGCCCAACCTAGAGATGTGGCTACGTGGGCTGCCCAACCAGCAGTGCCAAGCCACGCCCCTGGTAGGCTAGTGCCAGGCCCAGCCCAGCCCCATCTGTCCCTGCTAAGAGGTCACCCACAACTCCCTCCACCTCTGATGGCGTTCGTGCTCCATTCCTCCCTTTTGGGGTTCCTCATGAGGAAATGCTTTGGGAAAGGGAAAGGCTGACCTCTTTCAGTGGACCAAGGCATCTTCCCCAGCCTGGAGAACCCAGGAGGACCTGTTCCGCTAGAACTGGGGTCCACAAGGGCCTCCGTGGAGACCCTACTGTGGCAGTGCACATGCAGCCGTGGACAGAATGGGAAACCATGGGCAGGCTGCTCCCAGGTGTCATTTATGGAACCACTCGGGGCTGGGCCTGGTTGATGGGCAGACAACCTGAGCTCAAGCCTGTCCCCTTGGCCTTCCTTCCCCTGCCCCCAATAGAAAATGGGAAGCAGACCAGAAAGGAGCCTGTCTTTCTAAAAGAAAAGTCTCTCTGAAAGATGACCTCTTCCCCAGTCCCAATGCCACTGCTCCCACCCAACGCCCCTGCAGCAGAGTCCCTTCACCCCAGGCCACCTGAGCAAGCCCTCTCCCCGAGTGGGAAGGAGCCCTTCCGCTCCTTACAATGAACAGAGGACAGCCCCTGGCTCAGGAACCCTGGCTGTCTGGCCAGGAGGCAGAGGAGGCTGCTGGCGCAGGGCTGGGAAAATGGAGATGGAGAGACAGCGAGGTGGGGTGAGGGGGGCCAGAGGGTGCAGCCGAAGGAGCAGCTGTGACCGACACAAACCAACTGCTTTCTGTCCTCCCCACTGTCTCCACCTCCCTCTCCTGGTGACACAGAACCAAAGGCCCTACGGAACAGGGTCATGGGCCTGCTGGGAAGCAAGGGGCACTGGACTGGGAATCTGCATGAGGGGGTCTTGCCCATAACCAGCTGTGTTACTTTGGGCAAGTGGCTTGACTCCTCTGAGCCTCAATGCTCATACTGTAAAATTAAGCATGTGGGCGTACTGATCTCTAAGGTAGTTGTCTAATGTTCTAGACTTTCCGGCAGAAACCTGGTAGTTTCCACAACACGAGTGTACCATAGCTGAAAATAATTTTTTCAAAGAAAGAGATCACCTTTCCAGAGAAAAACGCTCGAACGTGGTCTCAGGGTAAGGAAACTCAAGTTCGAAAGGGATCTCTCCGGCACTGAGCAGAAATTGGGAACAAGACTCAGAGAAGCCTAGTTCTTGTGCTCAGCTCACCCTGCTGCTGTTGCTCACTAACTTGGGGGGCATTTAGCAAGTCTCTGAGCTTCTTTTCCTTCCATAACGTGGGCTTGAAATGACCTACTCTGCTTCCCTCACATGGATACTTTAAGACTGAAATGAAGCCAGGTGTGGTGGTGCATGCCTGTAGTCCCAGTTACTCAGGAGGCTGAGGCAGGAGGATCCTGAGTTAGAGGCCAGCCTGGGCAATTTAGCAAGACCCTGTCTCAAAGTAAAAAATAAAAAGGGCCGGGCATGTGGCTCAGTGGTAGAGCATCCCTGGGCTCAGTGCCCAGTACTGGGGGAAAAGAAGACTGAAGTGACCCACTGCCTGTAAGAAGCAGAGTGGAAGGAATGAGCTTTCTGGGACATGAAGGGGAGTGGGGACAGGTACAAAACGGGGGGCAAAAGCTGTGGGCTCCTGGCAGTAGAGGCATGTGGATGTGCCGCTCGCCCCCAGCTAACCATGGTAATTAGGCTCCGGCCACAGTGTTCCTCCTGGCTGGGGAGGCCAGCCATACTCCAGGCCCAGGGAAGCCCAGGTGTGTGCAGGTCACAGCCAAATTCAGGGACCTGAGGGTGCTTTGATGCTGACCCCGGTTCTTGCCGGGTCCAGGTGATGCCGAAGCACAGGACTGCACTACAGAGGCCAGACTTTATGGGGGCTCCCAGGATGACCCTGCCTGGCCAGATCCAGTCTGGGGGAACCCTCCAGATGCCTATCAAGTCTTCCTTTAACCTCATGCAACTCCAGAGCACTGGGAACTGCGTTCAATCTACCCAAATCTAGTCCTCAGCCACGTTTCTGGGAATGCTTCCCTGGTGTAAGGCAAGTTCCACCACCAAACTAATAAATCCAGAGTGGGCCGAGAGCCCAGGTGGGAGAGACAGGGCTGAGCACTGCCAAGGCCCAAACCCTGTGGAGAAAGAAAGCCAACTGAAGGCTCAGGGGACCAGGCAGGGCCACCCCTTATCAGCTTCCACAGCCCCTGCCCTGGGGTCCTGGAGGGGAGGGACAGCAGAGACCCTGCAGGGCCCAGTGGAAGCAGACACCTCCCCTGTCCTGCAGGACTGCCCCATTCCTGGGAATTCTGTTGTTCTTACCCACAACCTTGAACTGGTCTCCCAGTAACTGCTGGACCCTGGTCCTTTCCTCGCTGTGCTACCTGACCCTGCACAGGGCTGGAATTCTTCTTTCCTGCAGACCACACCTGCTTCTTTTTCTTTGTAACTAGGCCACCCGGAATCCGGCCACTGCTTTCAGGCCATCCACTACGGAGGGCCTAGCAGCAGCTGGCCTTACTACCCAATAGTAGTTGCCAAGCCAGAAAACAAACCACCGTGCAAACATGTCTTCCCATCCAAACTCACCTGACTGTAAGCTTGGAATGAGTGGTTCACTTGTTTGGTGTGCGCTATGGTTTGTGGGGTCTGAAACACGTTTACACGTCATCGCCATTGTAACGATGTTGGGAGGTGGGGTCTAGGGAAGGGGTCTGGGTTGTGGGGCTGGAGTCCCCGGATGAGACAATGCCTTTCCCCTAGGAATGGGTTAGCTACTGTCAGAGTTCTG